GAAAAATATTATTTATGAAATGTTGGCTGCAACAAAACAAGCGCCATTCCAATAAGTCAATCAGTCAATAAATAATCTATTTATTATGTTTCAGTGCCATAAACAACCTCTAGTCTATTAGTGACTAATTATCTTTAATAACATTTCATAGCAGCGACTGCAGAAATATTTCCATTTGACATTCATAAAGTGGTAATGAAAATTTGATTGGATCATAATACTGATATGGCATTGAGTACTTAACAATCGTGTTGTGTGTTCGACACAGTTCGACTGCGATATGGCACGCTGCGAAGTATTTTCTCTCAACTCCGCTTTAAATGTCTTAAACTGGAGGAATTAACACCTTTTCAACAGAAATCTAAATTAATTGATGTCAGTTCGAGGTGATGATGATGGCGATGGCGACGAAAACAACGGCGATTGCCACACGAGTATGTAACACAACCAAATACCCTGCCACAAACAAATAACGACATGCGTGTGGCATATGAGTCCAGTCCACAAGGCAGCAAAAAATTTACCAAAAACATTCAATTTTAAGGGAAAACAAGAACAAGACATGATAAGGTGATTTGTAGGTTGGAATATAATGAAAAGGGAGGGAATTATGGCAAACGAATTGTAAATGATGTTATCAATTTGCACTTTTTGATGGACAGTAGAGGTGATCTTCATCGCTGATCGTATATGAGCGTATAGAACTTGTACGAGGATCGGATGGTGAGTTTAGGTAAATACAATTTACAAGGGCAAACGCAAATCTGCTGACCAACTTCACATTTTTATGTAATGTTTTAGTCGAAAACGTTCACTATGGATTCCAACTGCCCAAAGTTGTAGGGATGCTCAACTTTAAAATAAAATAGACAAACAATCCGTTTTTATTGGCAGGTCGAAAGCTCATACTAGTCATTTCCGAACTGATTATACTACCCAATCTTTTTCAATTTTATTGGTTTGTTTTGATTTTTTTATTGTTCTTTTATTCCCTTTGATAAATGCGGTATTTATGAAAAGGGGTTTTGACGCCGTGGCTCCCTGGCCATGGATGTTGGTTTTTTTTAAGTCGTTGGGGATTTTCGCTTTCGCTTTGTTTGCCTTCCCCTCACTGTCAGAACTCTCACTTAACAACTGTAAGTGATGATGGTGATGGTGATGATGATGATATTGCGTTCTGTACCTTTGAGTGCAACAACAATTGGTGTGTATCGCTCTCTGTTTGAGATTGACGTGTGCTTGTGAAGTATTTAAATAAATGTTAACATTCTGTCGATACTCACATTTAATTTCGTCTGTGTGTCTGTATGTCAGTGTGAGCCAGCAAATGTTATTGTTTGGCGTTGTTTCAATTCACACTTGTCGCACTCAGCGATAACGATGTTTATTTGCATTTATTATTATTATTAATAAATAACAATAATAATGATACTCTTCATCATCGAATTCGTCGTCATCCGAAATCCTTTATTGGATTACAGTCGGCATTTGTTTAAATTTAAATCGGTTATTTTGTTTGCAGATGTTTGTATGTCGGTATGTCGATATGTGGGTACTCAACCTATTAACACATTTTAAACGTACACACTTTTCTGTACGACGACGGCAATACCAACAAATCACTTCCTGTTACTGTTATCTTTTGAAAACGAAAACAAGTTGTCATAAAAGCGTTTACAACTTCTTCCTTAGAAATGCGCCCATTCAAACGTCGAGCAGGGCCAGATCATAATCGAGGTTATCATTCCAGAAAGAAAAACAAAACACGAATGTTGGCCAAAATGGCCACATTTTCCTAGAACTAAAAAATAAATAATTCTTTTCAAATTTTACCCATTTTCTTGACAAATCAATTTCTTCGGTTCAAACAAATTCGTCGTTGGGTCTTTCCAGAATAATTAGCCGTCGATATGTACTTGTAGTGCCTCAGTCAGCCTACTACGTGATAAGTAAACACTGCTTTCCCCATAAACTTATTTCAATATTGTTTATGGACTAATTAAGCCTAAATTGTGTAAATATTTGTCAAGTGTCGCTTGACTTCAAAAATATCGCCATTCACACTCGTCGATGTCATTCGACAAAAGAACTCTTCTGCCTCAACTGGTTCATTGTGTACAAGGCTTGGTAGACTTCGTGTCTATGTGTCCGGCTGTAATTACACATGACGATGGGATAATTCTCGGTAGACACATGTCTGACTGATACCAGGAACTACTAGCACCCCTTCCAGCCCGCACGGTATTGGCACCGCCGCAATCGACTCATTCATTCATTCATTGATTGTTGTACTTCGTAATTCTGCCACAAAAAGGAAGTTAATGATATGTCAACATTGTTCGACAAATAACAATTACATGTGGCCCATAATATGTACACCGACGACCTAATACAACAACAAAAACAACCACATCTCCCAATGAAAGGCAATATGTCCAAATTATGATGTCAAATACATGTGACGCTTTGGAAAGAGCTATGTTCCGTTCTTTTGTTTTCGTGGGTTAATTGATAAGCATTTTCCAGTGCATTTGAATGGTAGAGATTCACAATTGAATTACCAGGAAAAATTCAGTTCCCACGCCTTTTATCTCTCTGTTCTATTTGATGTAGAAATAATTCCGGAACAGTTGTTTTCTTTTATTGGACGAACTTCGTAGAAAAGTTGTTAACAGTTACGATATGTTTATAACTAAATTAGTAGGTCACACAAATGTTCACCTTGTGACAACTAGGTACTTAACATCACACATTACACCCACATTATGGATGAGAATATTCGAAATACGATATCGTCCGGTATAACTATTATAATCGTGGAACCTTTAATTTCTTGATAACATGTCAATTTGCAGGGAAAACAGATCACAGATCTATGATGTGATTCTATTAATTATTACAAAAGGAAGTTGTAGATATTTTAGACAAATGTATAAATGTCTTTAAAAAACATATTTATGATAATAATATAGATATTGCGTGGAGCATTTAACCGGCATTTATGGCAATATATATCATATATACCCTAGGGTTATGACTTTTTTTGCAACCTCAAAGTATAATATTTTGATGAGTTTTTACATAAAATTGGATAAAACCTTAATGTTTAGGATATTCTAAAAAATTCTCACGCCCAAACTTATTAGAATTTCTTTTTTTATTTTTATTAATTTCTCTTTTGAGATGATCATGTAGATCGAAGTTGCAATGAAAAGGAAAGCCAGAGAAATACTACATCCCCATTTTGCGACGCGTTTCGCCGTTGGTTAACCGGCTCATCAGGCATATTGTGCAATGTGGCTTTCAAATGTCGTTACTTGATATGTGTCGAATATTGTTGCGAAAATGCATCTACGAATTAGATTCAACCGTGTCAAGGTTCGGACATTTGGCATCACACCAGAACATTCCTTTTTCTTGTAGTGACGGACTTTTTTCCATGCAGACTACAATATATTTTCTTCAATGGTATACAACTGCATATTGTGCAACCTTAGGAAGATAAGGAGGTGGCTTTTTTATTTTTGAGAATTTTCTAAGAAGTTTAGAAAAAAAATTCAATCTACGCAAATGCATAATTTTATTTTTACAAAATATAATTTCAGACTAGTTTTGCGTGGCCTTTTTAAATAATTAAATTGGAATGAACTTTATTTTAGACATTAATAGGCAAAAGCTCATTCATATTTGAAATCCCTTTTTGAGAAAAAAAAAATTATAACTCTAATCAGGGCCGTACACAGGATTTTTTTTTCGTCCACAGCTACAAAATGGAATAACCGCTATTGCAAACATAAATTTACTGTGAAAAACAGCACATCGATGACCCTAATGAGCACATACATATGTGCTTGAATTGAGTAAATCCTTGGACGTTATTAAAATAGATTTTGACCAGTACTGCAGGGTTGCGGTCTTAAATATATTCAATATTCCGAATTGATGACTTCAATTATTTCTTCATTAGGTTATATTTTGCATAATGTGTAAATGTGTAATGACCCAGTCTAGAATTATACTACAAAACAATAATTTACAGATGTCGATGCTTTCCAGTGCCATTCTTCGAATTCTTCAATATCGCAAAAAGCTAACATTACTGTGTCAGTATCTTTTTTACTATACCCTATTTCTTGACTTGTTTGCACTTTGCTGGTATTGGCGGTATTCTTTTGTTTTGCGTTCATTAAAATACAATAATAGTTATAATAAAATCCAATTTGTTTTTATACTTATCAGCGATATTTTCTAGTGAATCAGACGGGTGAGAGTGGTGGAATTTTTTTCTGTTACTATCTTCGATATTATGTTTCAGTTCGAACTTGTTTGCAAACTGCCATAAAATTTTGGTTTATCATCTACTTGGGAACGGTATTATCATATTCAGTTTTTCTTTATCAATGGAAGTCTTATTTGATTTTCAACTGTCTGTTGGGCGATGGACTGAGTGATAATTAGAAAAAAATTGTTTTGACCAACATCTTTATTCAGTTTAAATTTCTTTTTTTCTCGCTTGTCGTTTAAAAACGTTTCTATGATTCAAGTCAAAATATGCCGCATAGAGAAGCAGCGTTATTGCGTATCTTCTTTACGACACACCAATATACATGAACATGTTTAAAAAGTGGATTGACAATTACACAGTTCCCTTCAACATTTACATAGCTATTCGAATTTAGAACGATATTACGGAGGGTAAACTAAACTCTGAAACGAGTCAGAGAAATCATCTAATCGAATAAATAATATGCAAAATGGGGTATTTAAAATCAGCCGTCACACAAAAGAAAATGTTAAATTCCGACGGACAATAAAATATTGGTGATTAAGCTGACAATAGAACACCTTAACGTTCTGACACCATTCAATCTCTGTGGCCATTCAAACAGTAATATCCGCTTAGATGAAATTCCGTAAAACTGGAATAGTTTCCCACTCCAGCCGAAAGGTCGAGAGTGTATTCTACCTTTGGTAATTTTGTGTTGTGACACTGAACTCACCTGCATTACCCAGTAATTTGTTGATGCTGCAAATTGATCACCAATTAAGATATCCGTATGCATTTAAGCGAATATTCTAGTTGGCTGTGGATTGGGGGAAATGGTTGTTTCTTTTACAAAACTAAATGGATTTGTACAACTAGCATTCATTCACTCCGTATCGCCACTAGATGACATACAAATTCAAATTTGTTTCCAGCAAAAGAACCCACAAATTATATTTTATCTTGAGATTTAAGCACTTTCCAAATTATTTATTAATGGCACTTGAATAATTGCATTTTTTATGGATATGAATGAAGATGAAGAAGATTAGTTCAATTTAAGACGGATTGATGAAGGCACTTCGCACGAATAGCTTCTTTTAGGAAAAGGCTCTTGTGCGGCTCTATTTCCAAAACGTAGTTAATCCGAATATATGTATATATATGCGTGTTTGTAAGGCACTTTGTACATAGGTTTTTATTTAATAACGTCACATTGCTTTTATTATTTTGCCGACTTTGTTTTTCACGGTCGCATTATGCACCTTAGCCTGTTTTAGCGACGGCACTTTTTCTATTTGTATTGTATTCTAAATACACATTTCGTTCAAATCAAAAGGAGTTGTTTCTGTTGTTGACATTTTCTATAGTGGACTTGCTTTGCGTTCCGAAATAATTTATTAATCCCAGAAATCCAAACTTGTACAGATTTGATTCAATTTTAAATTTTCGTTATCACTAAACTAATTTTTTTTTAAAAAAATCGCACACTTTTAAATTAAAAAATCGCACAATCTGCTCGATAGGCACATTCCGCGCACCGTTTCCTTTGTATGCTTGGACCATTTGCCGGAGTTGGAACACGTACGCACTACTCCTCGTTTGTGCTTGTGTGTTATTGTGTTTGGTGTTTACGTATCTTTCGACTTCGCTTTCGACAATGTTTACCATTTGTTTTGGCTGGGTGTTTTGTTGGATTCGGATTCGTGTGAGTGCGCGCAATGCCCGTGTTTCTTTCTTCCGTTGACGGTAACCGAGTTCAGACTGAATGGCTGGATAAGCAAAGGTTCAGCTTAGAGGTATATTGTGTTGATACCACACCATCGTCACCACTACCACTAACAATGTTTGCTGCTCTGTGTTGTCTAGAGTTAAAAGAGTCTCTGGGCACGTTGCTGATCCCAGTGTGGATGGATGGTGTGTGGACTCTGCCGATGGTTGGATGGATGGTTTGCTTTGTTTGAGGCTCTGGTGTTTGTTTACCACTATTCCATATTTTGCTCCCTCAACCGTGCTCCTAGCCATCGTAGACGATACACACAATAAACTGCTTTTCCCATATGTGTGTGTGTGTGTGTGCGTATGTGTAGGTGTACGGTTATGTTACCAAAGAAACACAGGTGATAGGGAGAACAAAAAAAGGTTACTCATACGTTCTTTATTGTTCTCCGTTTATAAAGAGTGCACAATATTTCTCTCTTATACGATCACCTAAACACCCCAGGCTATACTATAGCAACCGATAATGTCTCCCTCTCCCGTTTGTTACCTTTAGTAATGTATAAGAGTGGTTTGAGTTGTAGTAGTGTATGTATGTTTTGGTTTTGATTTCTGGCTGCCAGTCAATGGCGATCGATTTTAGTAAATAAATAAAAAAATGTCCACAGTTATGAATGAAATTATGTGGTCGAAAATCATATGTGGTAGAAAGAAATACCAGACACGCGTTATGTTACATAGAAGAAGTATAATTATTACAGACAAATGAAAAAATAGCAATAAATAACAATAAAAATGTGTTGTATCGTTTTTAAACCGTCACGATCAATCGCCAATTTCGACTAAGGAAGATACTAATGCATATCTATAGCTGAAATCCGTTTTGAATAAGAATTTTATTAAGAAGAATTTATATTTTAAAGAACCGCATACCTCTAAAATTGTATGTAATAAAAAAGGCATAAAACTCAAAAAAATTTCAAATTATTAAAAAACATTCTTTGAGCACTAAAATAGCAAATTAATAAATTTTTGCAAATACACATGGAAAAAATACAACTCATATAATATTTAATTTTTTATATTAACTAATGGGGGGGGATTATCTGACTTTTAAAATCTGTATTTGTTTCATAAAATCCAACTCTAAATTTAACATATTAAGCGCAACAACTCATTACCTAAAATATATACAAATTCGGAAAACTAAAATTTTGTTATGGCTTAATGGAACCGAAAATTCATAATCTCCGAAAGACACAACTAGCTTAGAAACAACATTCAAAATGTATATATTTCCATAACTTTCTCGATTTAAAAAAAGTTTTTTTTTATTTAGCTCGAACCTTCACTAATTCAAGAAAGTCTCTTTAAAATTTCAAGTGAAAATCTCAACATCTCCTTAAGACATATCCGATTTAATGTGTCAGTATCAAGCGACTGCAAGAGTTCTTCTCAAACTTTAAACACATTTTTTGGAAACAATGTTTTTACGTACGATAACACAAAAACTAATAACCCAATCCGTTCTAAATTTTAACACGCTATTCTGTACGTATGTAGATAGATATCCTATGAACTAGGCTAACTGTAAAGAAGGACTCTTTTATTACTAAAAAACAACAACAAATTTATGTAAATAAATTTTCTTATTTTTTACGTCTTCAAATGCCTATATGGGCATTTCTGGAGAAACGTAAACCAAAGCCGAAGAACTTCATAATCAAAAATGTCGTGAGTGACTCAGAGAAAACCATTACAAAAAGGACAAGTCAAATTTTGGAAGTGCTGAAGTATAAAGAATATTTAATGTTCAAAATATTGACAGAATTCTCGGAGTTTTTCCATTATTGGCAATGATTTTTAAAGTCATGTATGTTTGAAGTCGCGTGAGTGACCGCTCTTCTAAAGGTTTCATTTCTCTCATTTTTCACTATATGCAGCATAGGAACTATATGTAGCAAAAGAACTATATGGAGCAAGGGAACTATAAAGAGCAAAGGAACTATATGGATCAAGAGAACTACATTAAAGAACTAGTTCCTTTTTAAAAAAGGAACGAGAAAGATCGATCCGCTATGTGAACTAGATTGCCCAACTCTACAGCAAATGTTTAAAATTACACGAGTAACTGAACAACATCACTGACGTTGGTCGGTACATTGGTCTTTAAATTACAATTAAGACAAGTTTGTATCAAACGAACGGGTGATAATTTATTTTCTTCCATTATTAAATTCAAATTTAGTTGAAATACCTTTACATGTTTATATAAACTCCATAGACATACTGTAGAGTTTTAAACTAATCGGCAGTGTATATATTTTATGAGGTTTGAAATTTAAATCTGCCTCAAAATATACAACATGGGGCAATAATCAAGGGCTAATTTGGAGTAAGTTTGAATAATGTTGGTTTGGTCGTTAACTTAAGACAATATTCAAAAAAATATGCTAGTATTTCGTTTGAAAATTGATTTATGTCTTAGCTTAAACACAACAAAGTTGCGAAATATTTGATCGTCAGGTGATCCATGATAATTTAGATAAGATTATCCACCTTACAAGAAAATGTGGTAATGTGGTATATTTGTATGTGGTATATATTATACATACCACATACAACATTTTTAAATTTATTTCAATTTAAATAAATGTAATTTCAATTTACTTTTAATAATTTAATAATTGTTTTTACTAAAAAAATAGTATATCGACTCCATTCATTGATGCGGTTCTTGTTAAAGGACGATGACCTCTTGGTCATTTGGTTCTCTCAATGCCCTGCGCTGCCCATATCCTAATATCACCTGTTTTTGGCATGATTGTTCTAAATGCAGTAGTCGTTATATCGAATGAGATATTTTACTTACTGGAAACTACAGAAAACATGTAGCTAATTTGTTGCAATAAGGGCATTAATAAAACAATTATGGGATGAAGGAACTTTATCTGAGAACTTCATCAGATTTTTTACGCAACATTAAGTCTGATATGACAAAAAAATCTGCATCATTAACTCAAAAATTAGGATTTTTTATATATGCCGGTCTTACAGTAAATGATAGATCTATAAAAATATGAATTTTTATTTTTATTTCATTGGAGAAAAAAAAAACAACAATTTTTTAAGAAGTAATTTGTTTATGTGGAAAGTAGTTCGATCACGTTCTGATCTATCAGTTGTATCAGCGGAAATTTTGGACCTTTCCAATTACTAGTGGTCCGATAGTCTATCCTACGAACATTTTCTCCCAGTAGGACTCTATTTCCCAACGTAAATGTTTTTTTTTTTAACATTTTTCAGTTAACAACAATCTCTTTCTTACAGGCATTTTAATATTTACTGAACTGAGATGTTTTATGGAATGGCAAGCAATATTAGTTCGAAAGTAATCTGGAAAACAAACAAAAAGTTGGCATTTTGCCAGGGTTTATTTGCTTTTTTGCGTTTTTCGCCGAACTAAGTGTAGGAAAAAATCAGCGGTCATAAAATCTCGGTTTAACATATTCCGACCCGCAACCAATTTTTTATATGACAATCTTGTTCTCTAGTAGCATAAATAACACATCCTACACCTCACCCGCCTATACCACATTTTTGGCTTTTAGCTCTAAGGTATCCTGCATTTCAATAAATATCTAGTAATAGAAACTAAAATTATTCATTTATTTCAATAACTAACATACGGTCGGATGAGAATGAATTTCTTTTTAATATTTCTGAAGATGTGATTTAGTTAAAATTTTTCATTTTCATTGTCTTACAGACATACAATTAATTCAACTTCAAAATGAATAAATTAAATTCAGCCATTTTTATACTAAAGAAGTCGAGTAAAATTTAACATGAACTTTTCATTCATTAAACAAGAATAATAGACCGATGCATAGACATTCGTGTGTGTGTGTCCAGTAAACACATTTCAATGCCCAAAAAAGAGAATTAAGAAACAACTACAACTACGCCTCAGTCAATATAGGAGTGGCCAAGCAACAAACAACCAATCACAACTCACTGAGTATTGTGTCGTTACCACACAAAGGCAACTAACGAAAAGAGACAATGTGGAAAACACAAAGAGTATCCATAGAAC